ATATGTAACTGTGGAGTGATATGGAACAGGGAACTGTGGAGTGATATGGAACAGGGAACTGTGGAGTGATATGTAACTGTGGAGTGATATGGAACAGGGAACTGTGGAGTAATATGTAACTGTGGAGTGATATGGAAAAGGGAACTGTGGAGTGATATGGAACAGGGAACTGTGGAGTGATATAGAACAGGGAACTGTGGAGTGATATGGAACAGGGAACTGTGGAGTGATATAGAACAGGGAACTGTGGAGTGATATGGAACTTGGAACTGTGGAGTAATATGGAACAGGGAACTGTGGAGTGATATGGAACAGGGAACTGTGGAGTGATATGGAACAGGGAACCGTGGAGTGACATGTAACTGTGGAGTGATATGGAACAGGGAACTGTGGAGTGATATGGAACAGGGAACTGTGGAGTGATATGGAACAGGGAACTGTGGAGTGATATGGAACAGGGAACTGTGGAGTGATATGGAACAGGGAACTGTGGAGTGATATGGAACAGGGAACTGTGGAGTGATATGGAACAGGGAACCGTGGAGTGACATGTAACTGTGGAGTGATATGGAACAGGGAAACTGTGGAGTGATATGGAACAGGGAACTGTGGAGTGATATGGAACAGGGAACTGTGGAGTGATATGGAACAGGGAACTGTGGAGTGATATGGAACAGGGAACTGTGGAGTGATATGGAACAGGGAACTGTGGAGTGATATGGAACTTAGAACTGTGGAGTAATATGGAACAGGGAACTGTGGAGTGATATGGAACTTGGAACTGTGGAGTAATATGGAACAGGGAACTGTGGAGTGATATGGAACAGGGAACTGTGGAGTTATATGGAACTTGGAACTGTGGAGTAATATGGAACAGGGAACTGTGGAGTGATATGGAACAGGGAACTGTGGAGTGACATGTAACTGTGGAGTGATATGGAACAGGGAACTGTGGAGTGATATGGAACAGGGAACTGTGGAGTGATATGGAACAGGGAACTGTGGAGTGATATGGAACAGGGAACTGTGGAGTGATATGGAACAGGGAACTGTGGAGTGATATGGAACAGGGAACTGTGGAGTGATATGGAACAGGGAACTGTGGAGTAATATGGAACAGGGAACTGTGGAGTGATATGGAACTTGGAACTGTGGAGTAATATGGAACAGGGAACTGTGGAGTGATATGGAACAGGGAACTGTGGAGTGACATGTAACTGTGGAGTGATATGGAACAGGGAACTGTGGAGTGATATGGAACAGGGAACTGTGGAGTGATATGGAACAGGGAACTGTGGAGTGATATGGAACAGGGAACTGTGGAGTGATATGGAACACGGAACTGTGGAGTGATATGGAACTTGGAACTGTGGAGTAATATGGAACAGGGAACTGTGGAGTGATATGTAACTGTGGAGTGATATGGAGCAGGGAACTGTGGAGTGATATGGAACAGGGAACTGTGGAGTGATATGGAACAGGGAACTGTGGAGTGACATGTAACTGTGGAGTGATATGGAACAGGGAACTGTGGAGTGATATGGAACAGGGAACTGTGGAGTGATACGGAACAGGGAACTGTGGAGTGATATGGAACAGGGAACTGTGGAGTGATATGGAACAGGGAACTGTGGAGTGATATGGAACTTGGAACTGTGGAGTAATATGGAACAGGAAACTGTGGAGTGATATGTAACTGTGGAGTGATATGGAACAGGGAACTGTGGAGTGATATGGAACAGGGAACTGTGGAGTGATATGTAACTGTGGAGTGATATGGAACAGGGAACTGTGGAGTAATATGTAACTGTGGAGTGATATGGAACAGGGAACTGTGGAGTAATATGTAACTGTGGAGTGATATGGAACAGGGAACTGTGGAGTAATATGGAACAGGGAACTGTGGAGTGATATGGAACAGGGAACTGTGGAGTGATATGGAACTTGGAACTGTGGAGTGATATGGAACAGGGAACTGTGGAGTGATATGAAACTGTGGAGTGATATGAAACTGTGGAGTGATATGGAACTGTGGAGTGACATGGAACTTGGAACTGTGGAGTGATATGGAACTGTGGAGTGATATGGAACATGGCACTGTGGAGTGATATGGAACTTGGCACTGTGGAGTGATATGGAACTTGGAACTGTGGAGTGATATGGAACTGTGGAGTGATATGGAACTGTGGAGTGATATGGAACTGTGGAGTGATATGGAACTGTGGAGTGATATGGAACTGTGGAGTGATATGTAACTGTGGAGTGATATGGAACATGGCACTGTGGAGTGATATGGAACATGGAACTGTGGAGTGACATGGAACTTGGAACTGTGGAGTAAAATAGAACTGTGGAGTGATATGGAACTGTGGAGTGATATGGAACTTGGAACTGTGGAGTGACATGGAACTTGGAACTGTTGTGGAGTGACATGGAACTTGGAACTGTTGTGGAGTGACATGGAACTTGGAACTGTTGTGGAGTGACATGGAACTTGGAACTGTTGTGGAGTGACATGGAACTTGAAACTGTGGAGTGACATGGAACTGTGGAGTGATATGAAACAGGAAACTGTGGAGTAGCACCAAAGAGCGAACTGTGATGTGACAAAACAGAGAAATGTCGGCTGACATAGAACTGGAAATAATCGATTACGTCACAGGATTTGCGTATTCTGACGACACATTTCTAGGTAGGCGCACAACACACCAGCAGGAAACGCTCATAATTAACCCCCCCCCCCACCCACTCTTTCCCTATTAGAGTCCACGCAAAATTCAGGTTCTGGGATAAGACCAAAGTCGAGAAGTGGACGAACAACCAGAAATTTCCAATCCCCTACAGCAGGTAAACGCAAAGAAGAAGGGCAAGGAGGCGAGAAAGACAGAAGGTTCTGAGCACCTGGTTCTAGACTGTGGCCTCTAGATGACCTGGAAACTTGACCGAACCTCTGGTCCTCGGACGCCGCAGCCTGGAGTCTTCAGTCACGTTTGCCCCCAAAACATTTTCAAGAGGGCCTAGAAAATATACAAGGAGCCTAGAAAATATACAAGGGGCCTAGAAAATATACAAGGAGCCTAGAAAATATACAAGGGGCCTAGAAAATATACAAGGGGCCTAGAAAAAATATACAAGGAGCCTAGAAAATATACAAGGGGCTAGAAAAATATACAAGGAGCCTAGAAAATATACAAGGGGCCTAGAAAATATACAAGGAGCCTAGAAAATATACAAGGGGCCTAGAAAATATACAAGGGGCCTAGAAAATATACAAGGAGCCTAGAAAATATACAAGGAGCCTAGAAAATATACAAGGAGCCTAGAAAATATACAAGGGGCCTAGAAAATATACAAGGAGCCTAGAAAATATACAAGGGGCCTAGAAAATATACAAGGGGCCTAAATGGTTTCCTCTAAGCATAAAATGTATAGACATCCCACCTCCCCAGTTTCTGTTTTATACATTTTATAGTGCTTCAAAAATGTGTTATATTTATTCTCCGTTGGCATATAATAATAATAATAATAATAATAATAATAATAATAATAATAATAATAATAATAATAATAGTAGTAGTAGTAGTAGTAGTAGCAGCAGCAGCAGCAGCAGCAGCAGCAGCAGTAGCAGCAGCAGTAGTAGTAGTAGTATTAGTAGTAGTAGTAGTAGTAGTAGTAGTAGTAGTAGTATTAGTAGCAGCAGCAGCAGCAGCAGCAGCAGCAGTAGCAGTAGTAGTAGTAGTAGTAGTAGTAGTAGTAGTAGTAGTAGTAGTAGTAGTAGTAGTAGTAGTAGTAGTAGTAGTAGTAGTAGTAATGTTGAGCATTAAAAAAGACCGAAGCCCATTGAACCCCCTTTGCTCCTGACATCTAGATAATTTTTAAAGATTGAGTGCCCCTTCAACCCCTTTTTTTTCTGCGCCTCCAGAATGTTTTTTTAAATGTCAGGTATCATGTTATGTCGAAAAGTCACACGATCCTGTTGTCTGTTGTGTTTTATGGTACATAATTCTCCTTTATGTCCTGAGTGTGTGTGTGTGCGCGCGCGCGCGCGTGGTGTGTGTGTGTGTGTGTCAGTCGTCACGTTCTGTCACAGTTGTACAGTTTGACACGTGGAAACAAAGGCACTATCTGACCAGGAAAATACAAATTAATCTATGTATTAGCCCAACTCCCGCCCGACGCAATCACACGAAAACAACAAGCTTTCAGTTGCGTGTCCCTAAATGGACTGCCAATTGCATGGACCATAAATTTGTGTACTAAACTGAAAGTCTCCAATGAATTTCATCTCACTGTAGTTAGCAGAGGCTAATTGACTTCCTGTTCAGAATCGATCAATGAACAAGCAGAGAAAATCAAAATATGAGAGGTTCTTGCACCTTTGTTTAGTCAGGGTAGAAAAGCCCCGTACAAAACGATCGGTGGTCATTTGAAGTCAAATGTGATGTTTTCAGCCAAGTACCCATTGTTAATGTGTGCCTGGTGTCGCCTGTGCGTGAATTTTCTGAAGTTTAATGGCAAGGAAATTCATGCTCACTTCTGCTGTAGAGATGTTAGCTTTGAATTTTTGATGTTGTCTTCCTGGACAGGTGTGAGCTGTGAGTTTCTGGTATAGTCTTCCTGGACAGGTGTGAGCTGTCAGTTTCTGATATAGTCTTCCTGGACAGGTGTGAGCTGTGAGTTCCTGATGTTGTCTTCCTGGACAGGTGTCAGCTGTGAGTTTCTGATATAGTCTTCCTGGACAGGTGTGAGCTGTGAGTTTCTGATGTTGTCTCCCTGGACAGGTGTGGGCTGTGAGTTCCTGATATAGTCTTCCTGGACAGCTGTGAGTTCCTGATATAGTCTTCCTGGACAGGTGTGAGCTGTGAGTTTCTGATGTAGACTTCCTAGACAGGTGTCAGCTGTGAGTTCCTGATATAGTCTTCCTGGACAAGTGTGAGCTGTGACTTTCTGATATAGTCTTCCTGGACAGGTGTGAGCTGTGAGTTTCTGATGTAGACTTCCTAGACAGGTGTCAGCTGTGAGTTTCTGATATAGTCTTCCTGGACAGGTGTGAGCTGTGAGTTTTTGATGTTGTCTTCCTGGACAGGTGTGAGCTGTGAGTTTCTGATATAGTCTTCCTGGACAGGTGTGAGCTGTGAGTTTCTGATATAGTCTTCCTGGACAGGTGTGAGCTGTGAGTTTCTGATGTAGTCTTCCTGGACAGGTGTCAGCTGTGAGTTTTTCTGATATAGTTCCTGGACAGGTGTGAGCTTCTGTGAGTTTTCTGATGTTTCAGCTGTGAGTCCTTCCTGACAGGGTGTGAGCTAGTTTCTGATATAGTGTTCCTGGACAGGTGTGAGCTGTGAGTTTCTGATGTAGACTTCCTAGACAGGTGTCAGCTGTGAGTTCCTGATATAGACTTCCTGGAAAGCTGTGAGCTGTGAGTTTCTGATGTTGTCTTCCTGGACAGGTGTGAGCTTTCCTGATATAGACTTCCTGGAAAGCTGTGAGCTGTGAGTTTCTGATGTTGTCTTCCTGGACAGGTGTGAGTTTCTGGTATAGTCTTACTGGACAGGTGTGAGCTGTGAGTTCCTGATGTTGTCTTCCTGGACAGGTGTGAGCTGTGAGTTTCTGAAATAGTCTTCCTGGACAAGTGTGAGCTGTGAGTTTCTGATGTAGACTTCCTAGACAGGTGTCAGCTGTGAGTTTCTGATATAGTCTTCCTGGACAAGTTTGAGCTGTGAGTTTCTGATGTAGACTTTCTAGACAGGTGTCAGCTGTGAGTTTCTGATATAGTCTTCCTGGACAAGTGTCAGCTGTGAGTTTCTGATATAGTCTTCCTGAACAGGTGTCAGCTGTGAGTTTCTGATGTTGTCTTTCTGGACAGCTGTGAGCTGTGAGTTTCTGATGTTGTCTTCCTGGACAGCTGTGAGCTGTGAGTTTCTGATGTTGTCTTCCTGGACAGGTGTGAGTTTCTGATATAGTCTTCCTGGACAGATGGTAGCTGTGAGTTCCTGATGTTGTCTTCCTGGACAGGTGTGAGCTGTGAGTTTTTAAAAAAGTCTTCCTGGACAGGTGTGAGTTTGTGATATAGTCTTCCTGGACAGGTGTGAGCTGTGAGTTTCTGATGTTGTCTTCCTGGACAGGTGTCAGCTGTGAGTTCCTGATATAGTTTCCTGGACAGGTGTGAGCTGTGAGTTTCTGATATAGTCTTCCTGGACAGGTGTGAGCTGTGAGTTTCTGATATAGTCTTCCTGGACAGGTGTGAGCTGTAAGTTTCTGATATAGTCTTCCTGGACAGGTGTGAGCTGTAAGTTTCTGATGTAGACTTTCTAGACAGGTGTGAGCTGTGAGTTTCTGATGTTGTCTTCCTGGACAGGTGTGAGCTGTAAGTTTCTGATGTAGACTTTCTAGACAGGTGTGAGCTGTGAGTTTCTGATGTTGTCTTCCTGGACAGGTGTGAGCTGTGAGTTTCTGATATAGTCTTCCTGGACAGGTGTGAGCTGTAAGTTTCTGATGTAGACTTTCTAGACAGGTGTGAGCTGTGAGTTTCTGATGTTGTCTTCCTGGACAGGTGTGAGCTGTGAGTTTCTGATGTTGTCTTCCTGGACAGGTGTGAGCTGTGAGTTTCTGATGTTGTCTTCCTGGACAAGTGTGAGCTGTAAGTTTCTGATGTTGTCTTCCTGGACAGGTGTGAGCTGTAAGTTTCTGATATAGTCTTCCTGGACAGGTGTAGCTGTGAGTTTCTGATATAGTTTCCTGGACAGGTGTGAGCTGTGAGTTTCTGATATAGTCTTCCTGGACAGGTGTGAGTTGTGAGTTTCTGATATAGTCTTCCTGGACAGCTGTGAGCTGTGAGTTTCTGATATAGTCTTCCTGGACAGGTGTGACTGTGAGTTTCTGATGTAGCAATGCTAGATAGGTGTGAGCGTTGAGCTTCCGTGGTAGCCATGCCGGACAGGTGTGAGTTGTGAGTTTCAGATCAAATTCTGCTATAGCAGAATGAGCCGAGTTGTCCAGTTAAAGTCTGTATTATAGCTATCAACAGTCGTCAGTATGATTTTGCTGTATGCTTGTCAGCATGTAATGCCCATAGAATTCAGCAAAACAAGTCTGTTTAATTGTCTCTGATCACATGTCAAGTCACCAGACAAACATCACATGTTTTTATCTATAGGCCTCGCTGAGATGTATGTTTAGCGGAAATGCCCAAAATGGAATAGCATACATGTAGGTAAATAACAAACATGTAGGTAAATGACAAAAATATAGGTAAATATCAAACATATAGGTAAATGTCAAACATATAGGTAAATGACAAACATATAGGTAAATGACAAACATATAGGTAAATGACAAACATATAGGTAAATGACAAACATATAGGTAAATGACAAGCATATAGGTAAATGACAAACATATAGGTAAATGACAAACTTATAGTTAAATGACAAATTTATAGTTAAATGACAAACTTATAGGTAAATGACAAACATATAGGTAAATGACAAACATAACGGTAAGTGACAAACATATAGGTAAATGACAAACATATAGGTAAATGACAAGCATATAGGTAAATGACAAACATATAGGTGAATGACAAACATATAGGTGTATGACAAACTTATAGTTAAATGACAAATTTATAGTTAAATGACAAACTTATAGGTAAATGACAAACATATAGGTAAATCACAAACATAACGGTAAGTGACAAACATATAGGTAAATGACAAACATATAGGTAAATGACAAACATATAGGTGAATGACAAACTTATAGTTAAATGACAAACATATAGGTAAATGACAAACACATAGGTAAATGATAAACATATAGGTAAATGACAAACATATAGGTAAATGACAAACATATAGGTGAATTACAAACATATAGGTAAATGACAAACACATAGGTAAATGACAAACACATAGGTAAATGACAAACATATAGGTAAATGACAAACATATAGGTAAATGACAAACATATAGGTAAATGACAAACATATAGGTAAATGACAAACATATAGGTAAATGACAAACATATTGGTAAATGACAAACATATTGGTTAATAACAAACATATTGGTAAATGACAAACATATTGGTAAATGACAAACATATAGGTAAATGACAAACATATTGGTAAATGACAAACATATAGGTAAATGACAAACATATTGGTTAATAACAAACATATTGGTTAAAAACAAACATATTGGTAAATGACAAACATATTGGTAAATGACAAACATATAGGTAAATGACAAACATATAGGTAAATGACAAACATATAGGTAAATGACAAACATATAGAGATAATGAAATCACATATATTAATCCATGGCAGCACTTAGACGATAGATCAGCTGATTTAATGACCCACTCGAAAAATCCCATAAGCGCCCCTTTTTCCACATCTCCAGCAAGCAGCAAAAACTATGATATTACGCGTAGCAGTCTGATTGTGTGCTCGTCCTTCGTTCTTGTCAAGATCTGCTGTCACTCCTGACTGCCGCCGTCGCTTCAAGCAACAGTTATCTTCTTGTTTCCTCGCTGCAAAACGTCATTCATAACATGCAGCTCATCAGTGTAAATTAAATGATGCAGACCAATTGTATCTGCAGATTCTTTCCCAAACACACCGGCAAACCCTGGGGAAAACATGGCAACAGCATTAACTACCTGGGACCTTTGAAACCATGCTTGCCACTTTTCACTGAACATACCTGTATGATATGGCATGCTTGGTATGCTCACAGACCATCAGTGATCTTGGTACCCAGTGTCTATATTCACTTGCGACCCTTAGAAAGTACATTTTTCCTCGAGAAATATCTGTTGATCCAGCTTCCGTCTGCCAAGTGTCAAGGGAGACATCAGAAGCAATGGCTACGCTGGATGGATAAGTGTGCCTTTGTCTCTCTGATTATCAAATGTCATGCCAGATACTAGTCCATATACGATATCTACCCTACCCACCCTACCAACTCGCCGACTTGTGTAGAAAACTCGCTGATGAAAAGAATCTTGTCTGTATCTCGCGAGCTGTCCTGTCTTTTATGTCAGCTATAATTAATTATCAAGGTTCAAAGCCGCTTTGATGTGCCGGTTTATCACAGAAACTTTCATCACATTTTTATAACGACGTCTACACCGGTTTGTTCCAGAGTTTATTTTATGAAAAGGAAAAAAAAATGGTGTTTACTTTATTAGACATAATTGTTAGAGGATATACATTCCGACCTCACATTTTATGTGAGAAAGCCTTACGTTGCCCTTGTGTGTGTGCGTTTTCTCTGGAATAACTGGGAATTTATTGAACACATTACTGAGTAGTTCGCCTCCCCATCTCCGCGAGCTCCTATCGATGTGTGCCAGTTTGCACTTCTCATCAAGCTTTAGTCATGGATTGTATGTGGGAAAACATCAGGTTGCTGGGACAACAAGTGCAAGCCGCTTCAGGGAATCTGGATCAGGGTTTCCCCCCCCCCCTCCCCCCAAAAAAGGGGGAAAAAACCCACTTCATTTTAACCCAAACTACTATCAAAATTACGAGAGGAAAAATAAAAATAAAATAAAAAGCAACACTAGAGTGACTTCACATGAAAAGCTCTAGATTGAATTTATGACTGTCATCCTCACTGGAACAAGTGGATGATATTTTCAGCTTTAAGCGAAACGTTCAGGTCTATGCAAGTGACTACGTTTCAATGTATCCACCATGCGCTGTCAGGATTTCACTTAGATGATCCATTGTGCGTATTGCACAATGGCAGGTCATGCTGACAGCAAGCTGCAACTTTCCTGCCTTAACTTTATCATTATTTTGCCTCGCAGCTTTTGACGCAGTTTTCCTCCTCTTTTATTGTTCATGATTTGATATGTTACTAATTCTTGATTACAGTAGTGCACTGACAGTTTACAATGCGCCTTCTCTGATCCGTCTAAAGATCTTTTCAACCACGGGTATCTTTTCTCCCAATTACTATCGTACATGCCACTGCTGTTATAAAATGCTTTCCATTTAAAAAAAAAAATTTTTTTTTTGATTGGTAAAACTAATAAAATCTATCTTCTACTTTGTATCCTCAAGTTGTTTGTGAACAGTCTGAATCATTTGTTATCACTGGTGGCTTTTGGCTTTGGCTGGAAAATTAACTTTTCTCTCAGTAAACTGCCACCACCAGCACAGATAAGTCATCCAAGCTACCTGACTCCGTGCTGCAGGATGTATTTATGTGCTTTATTATAGTTACATCACAGAGGACCTTGGTTTATCGCAGTCACGATCCGTTTAGGAA